TTGCAGACATGAAGGATAAGATACAGTCCTTTAACCCCGAGTAGTTCATATAATAGAGTAAGATCACTGCTTTAATGAGGAGTCTGTGCAATGCCATTGATATTAACAAAAAAAGATAACTTTACTCTGTAGGAGTAGCAAATCATTGATTGTGGCTTCATAACAACATTACTCTAAAAAGTAAGAAAACAGAAATGCAAACACAGGATAAACACATAAATAAACAGCTCCCTCTGGAGAAAGTGAGACAACCTTAGGACTGCAGGCCATGCCCTCTGGGGAACTAGGTTTGTTCCCAAGAATCACAGTCCTCACCTCGGCCTTCTCTTACACACAGCAAGAGTCAAATGAGAATAAGTAAATCATCTGGATCTGCTTCTAGCCCTCTTCTTCTGGTGCAGAATTAAGAAAATCAAAGAGACTGAGTTGCCAGATAAGTGGTTTCCCTTATATGTAACCTGAATTTAACAAGTTTTATGCTTATTTTATGTTAAATATGGGCTTGAGAACTAATATATGTTATGCTTTTTTTTTCCCAATTAATACTTTTTAAAAGGATCTACTACTACAGGGATATGACAACTTCTTTTTTTCATTAATGGAAAAGTGAGGCTGTAGAAAGCGTATCTACAAAATAAAAAAGATTTATTATAATGGAAAATATTTTAGACATTCACGTATTCATTTACTTATTCACCAATTCAGCCAACATTAATTACTTGCCGTGCACCAGATACTATACATATGGAACGTACCTTTGATTTATGTGCTTGATGAATAATCTTTAGTTTATCTGAAAGAAAAAAGCAAGTTGCCGTTTTGTACAGATTATTCTAAAATCTCTTTTCAAATTATTAAAGTAAGAATAGAGGGTGATGGCTATGAAATTGAGAAATTTGTACCGGCCAGCTGCCAAAAACAAACAAAAAAATGAAATTTAGACATTTAAGTCCTTGCCTTAGGACCAGATTCACTTAAAAACCTGGTACACAGTAAAAAGAAAATTACTTTTGCAAATCACTAAAATTAAAGATGAAAGTACAAAGATATTTTAAAGCATTGGTCTTTGACACACACATAGAAGTCAGTACAGCCCATTTTCTCTTCCAATAGAATACAGGTGAATCACATTACTCTATCCTGCTTTTTGGAGTTACTAAAGGCCAGGACTAGTAAATAATATTTTTTAGAATAGTCTTAAATCAAGACAGACATTAACAAAAACGGTTTTTAAAAATCTACTAATCTCTCAATAGATATGGTGACAGGAGGTCAAATGCTCATACTAAAAAGGTGTTACTGGTCCCAGAATTCAAACACTATCAAGGATCACTGGTAATCTGAGCAAGCCTGTTAATACCCAAAGAATACAATATCTGCCTCGTGGTTTTCAAATATTGCACAGGCTCACACCATCTAATTCACTTTATTCAAACCCACCTTCATTCTTTAATCTGTTTATCTTGAAGTCAGGCTACACTGTGCTTTTCCAATAAGTAATTTCTCCACACTTAGGTAAAACCCTAACACTGCAATAATTAGCCCTTAATTATATAACAGACATAGCCATTCATTAACAGGTTGAAATTCAGGAAGTTTGCAATTCTTCAATCAGTTTTATTTAACCATTTAAGTAATGCATTATGATTACAATGTATTATTATATCTGAATAAACTCTCAACCTTAAACTAAAACTCATTTTCTATCAATCATGCTGTAACAAGGAATTCCAAAATGATATGAAATGAAAGCATCTATTTAAAAAAGACTTTGATTTAACTATGTTCTCAAAATACAGAAGAATAGGGTGCCTATCTAGGTACCCTCTGAATTACCCATTATTTTAAGTATTCAACTTTCAATTATCTATTGGAATTTTTAATAGAAGGTCAGCATAAATCCTTGGACTGTAACTCCATATTCCTAATAAATAAAAATAAATCTAATCCAAGTAAAATATGCACATTAGGAATATAAATATGCCACAATTGCTAAAAAATAAGCTTACAATGTACATAAGAAAATAAGCAAATGTGACTTCTGGATTATCTATTATTCTTTTTTTTTTTTTCCTTTTTGTCTTTTTTCGTGACCGGTAACGGGATCGCAACCC